TTGATTGGTATAGGAGGTCCATATTTCCGTGCTGAGCTACAGCCGCATGCAGGACCTCTGCCCTGTATATTGTGGGTCTCGTGTTTAGTTACTGTCCGTCGCTGTTTTAAACGGAATCCTGCAGATGACCGAATGCCTGACGGTCTATGCTCATGATCTCCTCGCGAGCTCCACGTTAGATGCGGAACGCCTTTGTTCCTCGAGGGTTAACCCGGAACGGGCCGTCGTCCGGAGGTCCCAATAGTCAGCAGACTCAGTCAACTTGTAGATCGACGTGAGAGCGTGTCGCAAAGTCTCCCTCTGGATAAAACTATGAAACGAATGGTCTTGGCGAAAACAGGGAGAATGGCCAAACAAACTTTCAGGGACTGTGCAGGAGGTTGGTAGGATCCTCCGTCGCACAGGTAATTCGGACGGTGGCACCGAACACTAATTCAGCGGCGGGACAGTCGATTTCCGACTCCAGGACGGAATTGATGCCCAACGGCACCAAGGAGAGATGGTTCGTCCAGTTCTCCAGGTCCTCTGCCGCGTGTAGGGTGGTTGTGGAACCGCTCAGCCATCTCGTTGACATTAGAGTGGTAGGGTGTCGTGCAAATGCGAGTGCAGCCTAAAAGGAGAGAAAAGATTGAAAGAGGTGAGATTCGAACTGAGCACCATGGTCAGTCGTGTTAGAAAAGGGCTCATTAAAGATGGTAACCCGACGACGGAGAAATACTCTAACCACTATCAACATCTCGCTGTCAGGCGGAAGAATGGCTTCTGGCCACCGAGTGAATCAATACACTCAGGTTACATGATCGGAACAATCTTTGGAGAGGGACAGGAGGCCTACAATGTCTACATGGACTCGACTCTACATGGACTCGACTACATCGACTCGACTGGGAAAGGTGGCAATGGAAGCCTTTTTGTGCCGCTGGACCTTTCTCGGTAACAAGAGATAAAAAACCTGGGTTTGTGCTGTCAGTTCCTTTTTCATCCTAGGCCAGACGATGCGGTCGTAAGTCAATTTGTCGTCACTGTGACTCCCAGGGCGAGAGAGGTTGTGCGAGGAGGAGAAAGCTTTGCTACGAAGGGATGGCGGCACAACGGGACGATGGAATGCGGTGGAGACGTCGCAAATGATGGTGTTGTAACCAGTAGTCAGTGGCAGGTCCTGGAGTTACAGTCCGAAGACATTCTCTTGCAGGGCGTACGGACGCGACGTCGTTCAACAGCCATCTCGGTGAGGTCGATCTCGGAAGAGGATTTCTCTCTTTAAACACAAAATGGTATGATTACGATCACGCCTGTCAGTTCTATTTAAATTTATTAGACACTGACCGGCCTCATGGCATGTAACCTTATGAAAACTTTTGATCATACGACGTCCGCATCGGTGAAGTCAAGCAAAATCCAGCTTCTCTTGTTCAACCCCATCTCATTTACTTCGAAGAAATAAAAAAATAAGAGGACTTACTGGAAAACTGCCTTGGAATCTGCAGTCAGGAATTAGGCAGTTGAAAAACCGTCATAAACGAAAGCACACTACTTATTAAGCTGTATTTAAATGTAAAATTCACTGAAACACTGTTATTAGACGCCGTTTTATGTCTAATTTCATATTAACTGCGTTTTTGCTATGAGAATACATTCTATACATCTGAAAACGAACTTTACTCAATTAGAGCCCTTTCAGACGTTTTCGAGATCTTGTGCTTTTCAAAATAAATCGGCATTTCTAACTAACGCAACACGGCTATTAACAATTCTTTTATTTTTTTAATTCTTTTGAACTTGTAGTTCATTAGCTTAGAAATCGGACTAATCAAATGGTGTCGGTTTGCGAGTGATTGGCATTCATTCGTAAATTTCGACACATTTCATGAGTTAGGTCACTCACTGTATATTGAACTCTAGACCTTCCAGTACATTCCCAAAGTGCTTCACAACTAAAAAAATCGCAAGAAGTTCACGCCTGAATGTGTTTTAGCGAGTCTCGTCTCTGTTTTGTTTTTTCAAAAGAAGAAGAAGAAGAACAAAAGCACAATCTAATTTGAGATACTTTCTTGGGGAACCGCACCAACGACAACATTAGAAGTATCGACCGCTAGAAATATATGTGCGTCAGGAGGGTAGCGTCGGTCGAAAGAGCTTTTATCCTCTCAAATAATGTGCGTGTTACCGGTGTAAATTCAAAGGTGAACCTAGAAACTGAATGGAGGTTGGTCGGCGGGAGGGTGGTTTGAGCACAGTTAATGAGGAACCGGCAACTGACGCTTATAGATAGGGCGTGGGAAGTCCCGAATAACCCCGACTTTTGAGGAAGGGGACAAATGCCGTTGGAGTCGATATAATGACCTAAGAACCCATGAGAAGCGACTTCCATGACGCATTTAGCAGGACGCAGAGTGATACTGGACTTCTGGAGACGGTCGAAAAACAAAGTAGAGTCTTGGACATGTTCCTCGACATCCGGGTCGGCGACTAAAACGCTGTCAGTATAAGCCTAAACAAAAAGGCGAGGAATTTTTGAGACCAAACAGCACGAGGAGAAATTCGAACAAGCCAAAAGGAGTCATAACCGCCGTTTTGGGGACGCCCTCGGGCGCAATCGAAACTTGATGGTAATCCCGGACCAAGTCGGTTTTCGAGATACCAGTTTTGCCGAATGGAGTTCGTGCAAAGTCCTGGAGATGAAGAACCGGGTACCTACCAGACATAGTGATGTTTTTTGGACTCTGTAATAGCCGCAAGGACGCCACTTGTCCGTCTGTGGCTTGAAGCCATGCGCAATAGAGATGCTCAGAAACCGTTAGTCAGCTCAATGATCCATAGCTGCGAAGTGTGGTCAGAATCAGCTCAGTCGGGCGCAGGACTGGTGGAAGCAAGACGTCGGGGTGAGGGAACACAGGAGAACCAGTTGTTTTGGCGTGATGAACAATATCATGGTGCAATGAGGAGTGGGAAAGTGGGGTTTAGTGAGACCAGGATATTCGGCCAGAAGTTTCCGGAGTGGAGAACTCAGGGTTCGGGTCAAAGCCAGACAGATAGTTGGAAGCAGAAGATGGGTGAAATCCTTTGACGGAGAGGGTGATGCCGCGATCATGGAGGTGGAGTAGCCTGCAATTAACCAGAAAGTCGGCAGCGGTCAGACAACCAACATCAAGGATAGCGGTAGGAACATCAGCTACCACGAAGATCCAGGGGAATAGTCGTCTTAAACCAGTGTCCATGGAGAGGAACCCCGATCCAGAGGTTGCGATTGCGGAGAAGTTTCTTGGCCTGAGGAAGAACACCTCGGTCGAGACAGTGTCGGTCGGCTGGGATAGGAGGAATAGCCCTGATTTATGCGTCAGCATTGACTTGGAAACGTCTGTCTCTCTTGCTATCGCAGGCCTTAACAGGGTTCACAGAGAGCTCGGCCGCACTTATTCTCAGGCCAAGGAGTTACCTCGCGAAAACTTGAATGGACAGGTCAGGACACAACGTTGTGCCTCATCACCAGCATCTACGTGATACCACCCGAGATTAGCAGTCTTAAGGTGAGGGCAGGAATGGTGGCGGTCTCGGCAATACATGTGCCGAGGTGAGTCAGCAAAGTGACGCAGATGCACAGTGGCAACCGTCGCCAACAGTTTGGCTATCTGTGCCTTGGGCTTCGCCAGGTCATATGTGGATGCATGGGAAATCTGCGAGACCCGAGCAACCATCGAGGAAAACAAACGCTCGACCACCATCGTACAATCAGCCATTTTGACAAGTTTTGGGATGTCTAGATCATTGAAGCAGGAGGCCAAAACTGGCTGCATAGACGTTGACAGACGTTCTGTGAACATATCATTGGAGAACTTGCCATCAATGGTCATATTCCCAAGAAAAGAACGCATGCAACGCAGGAGTACCGGAAGTTTGCGATCTTCAGAAGCCTATCCTTTACGGGCCCATGATAACCCTGACTGTCTGAAACCGAAGTCAGACGGAGAAGCTCGGCCCTAACCTTCGTGTAGGGTCTCCTAAAATGTTTGGATTTGGGAAAGGGTGACGGAAAGATGGACCGCAACCAAAGTATAGTGCTTGTCTTTCTCTCGTGTTACCGGTGTAGATTTTAATGTCCTCTCAATACGAAAAAATTTAGTCTTGGCGCATTTCGCCGGAAGACCGTTTGTGGAAGAGGACACGATAGCTCTTTGCACAGTTCATTACAGCAAGGCAATGACTGCGAAAGTTCCCAGTCCGAAGCCAGTGCATCATACGAAAATTTAGGCCCACTACCCCCAACTTCGGGCGAAATCAGTTTAGTGTCGATGTTCCATCATCCGTCGCAGGCGCCGTAGTGGCGATATATCGCACTAGCGAAGGCTGGGCAATAAAGAGCTCGTCCATAAATCGTAAGCAAAATACCATAATAAGGGGTGCTCCAGGGTCCACGTCCTGCATTCCAAAGGAACCGATGACGAACGACATAGATCTTCTCCCTAAAGTCCCCTAGTACCGTCCTGAAGGATGGAAAAATTCTCACCGTAAAAAGGCTTTCCGACTAGGCAAAATAAACTCAGGTCGTGGCCCGGGAATATGCCAAGACCCCTAAAAGTTATTTTATAAAACGAGGCTCAAGTAGCGCTTCTGTTAGAAAGAAAAATCACCTTTCCGAGCTCGTACGCGTAAGTGTTTTTTTCGATGGACTACGAACCGAGGGGAAACTGAACATGAGGGAACCGGGGACAGAATTGAAGGAGAGGTGACAGAGGGGAGATAGGTCTGGAAATCAAAATGGCCAAATGGTCAAGACCAGTGTGCTTTTCCTATGGTCAAGACCTGTCACAAACAAGGCTGGGTCCCTCCAACATAATGATCATTAAAGGTCATCGCCGAAAATTACAAAGCATGTTAAACAAACTAGATGAACAACGAGACTAAGTGGATGCAAATAAACTAGACTTTATGGCTTTCACAGAAACGTGGCTGCCTAAAGATATTGCAGATTTAGAAATACCACTTAGAGGATATCAACAATTCAGGAGGAAAAAAGTACCTCGGTCAGTTTCCAACACCCTAAAGGACAGAATACATAATGATACAAATTACTTCACCAATAACTCAAAGCGCTTTAAAGAGGACAGGAGAAAGTCATCATATTAAAGGCTTTTAGAATGGGCCGAAAAAAAGACTCAAAAATGAGTCAGACCGGTCTAAATAGTTAAAAAAACGTCCTACAGACTAAGGAGCAAGTGCAGCTGCTGTTGGGCAGGAAATTTGCACTCTTCAGATTCCCTTGTTCCATATTTTCTTCAGAACAGACTAAAAAAGTTGAGGCGACAACTGCGTGACCCATCCGCTAGTTCCTTATCTGTTCATCTTAGAATCACAGAGATATTTGAGATGGCCTCTAGGATGCGCCAAGCGCGCGACAGGCAAATAGAATCAATTGCTCTCAGTGGTTCGAACCCTGGTAAATCCGTCGCTAACATTTTCCGTCATCGGTCCTCCTCTAAGCGTGGTCATGAACTTCCACCCATGCTAAATGATAACAAAGTCTTCCTCATCAATGACACTGACAAGGCGGAGTTGTTTAGTGCTTTCTTTGCAAAACACCTTGCCACCGAGTCCGATCCGGTCCCTTTCTTTCGATCTCTTTCAGATAGGACACTTAGTACAATTGATGTCTCCTCAGATCTCATTAAGTAATACATAGGCCGTTTGAAATACTCACACTGCTCAGGAACGGACGGGATTCCGAATTCGATTATTAAACAAGCGTCCGACCTTCCCAAATTGCTTAGTCATTTATTCTCTGTTTATATTTCAAAAGGATTCTTTCCTGAAACATGGAAAACGTCAATTATCATTCCCGTTTTCAAGTCAGGATCTCGGTCCGATGTTAATAACTATCGGGGCGTGCACAAAACGCCGTCTCTAGCAAAACTTCTTGAAAGGATTATTTTCAATGAAATTCTTGACTTCTGTCTAGCTAATCGGCTTCTGAGCTCTAGTCAGCATAGATTTTTACCTGAACGATCCTGCGAAACATGCCACTTGGCTTTTCTTAATCTAATCACTTCTCTTCGTAATGAGCGGCAGTCAGTGGTAGTTATTTACTTTGATCTTAGCAAAGCCTTTGACAAGGTGCCCCATAGACGTCTTTTAGTAAAATTGGAAGCTCTCGGCATCCGGCCGCCTCTACTCGACTTCAACAGGTCCTATCTGTCCAACCGATATCAGATAGTCATGGTCGGTAATAGCTACTCGACACCTCACTCGATCACGAGTGACGTACTTCAAGGAACGGTTCTGGGTCCGCTACTCTTCCTTCTGTACATCAATGATATTTCGACTGAACTCGGAAATTCGCAAACTTTTACTTATGCCGATGACCTCAAGTGTGTTTACTCATACTCTAAGGATACCGCAAATGTTTGTGTTGAAAAAATTATTGCCGACGTACTACGCTTAAGCAGATGGGGTTCGACATGGCAGATGGAGTTTTCATCATCCAAGGGTAGGTTCATGTCTTTTGGTCCTACCAAACTTCCTGGTCCCATAATTTTTCAGAATAACCCACTCTCAGAATGCCTCACCATAAAGGACCTAGGTCTAAGTTATACAAATAAACTTGCTTTATCACCTCATGCAGATAGAATCTCTGCCAAAGCCGCGCAGATATGTGGATTCATATCACATAATTTTTTCCTTCCGGAAATGAAGCTAAGACTTTATCAAATTTTTGTTCTTCCAGTCCTCGAATATTGCTGTCCTTTCTTCGGTTTAATGAACGCCTGCGACCGTAATAAAATCGAAAATGTTCAGAGGGTTTTCACCCGGAAACTGTTCTCTCAAGCTTCGTCCAGTATTTCTTATACTCAGAGATGTCAGCTGGCGAACATTAAGTTTTTGTGGGTTAGAAGACTCGAAGCTGGCCTTTGCTTCCTTTTTCGCATCAACTCTAGCTCCAGTCTTCCGCACATTGACACTCTCACTCCGAGAGATCGGTCTTATGCCACGCGCAACTCCTGCATGGTGATTCCGCCGCCTCTTTGTACTACATCTAAGCGCTCCCTCTTCTTTGCTTCCAAATATGCCTTCCTTTGGAATAATCTTCCGTCAGAAATCAGGTCATCGCCTAAGTTACTGGTATTCAAGTCGAAATTACGCAACCATCTTACACCGGAAAGCATAAAGGCATTGTTAATGGTCTCATTCCCGAACACTCGGATTCTTGACTTCGAGAATGGTCCTCCTGGGATTTAGCGGTAGATGAAGTGGTAACTCTTAATTATATCATTAGAAACCCCTGTTTTGAATTGGTTTCTAAATCCACTGCTATCACTCCCCCCATAGCGACAATTTTCGCGGTTTTTGATGTCATCTCCCGCATTCCGACCTCATGCGGTCTGTCGACGCTCACGGCGGAACCCTCAGTATTCAGCGTCTACTAGTAGTTCGGTCGTACCTCCCTTTCCCACTCCTCGGCTGAGCTCGAAGCGTGCTGTGGCCGATCGCATCTGGGTTCCTCTCGTCTGGCCTCTTTGACGCGGCGTACCAATCCGGCCCAGACGATCTCAATTGTGAATCCCGTATACAATGCCATATGCAAGCCTGTCCTGTCTGACCCACATTTGTACCCATCAAGGCTGACATTTATTGCTACCCTGACGATGACCGCCAAATTCCGTTATATACCGCCACCTACAGGCCAGTCCTGCTCGCTTTTTTCTGTCATTATTTTTATTGAGGGTTTTTTTCTCCTGTAAAATTAATCCAATCATTTTTAACTTTTTTTAAGGAGTTTTTTTTTTCACCCCTCAATCATCATGTTTCTCAATGGACTCCTAATTCAGAAACTATGAATTGCATTTTGTAAAGATTCGGCCTACCTCATCTAAAACTCGCATGTAAATTTATTTTAACTTGCTTTGATGGGGCCCCGACGGGTCTTTAATAAAAATTATCTATCTATCTAAGTGTCCACCCAACCGTTTTTTTCAGCCGGACGTTTCACCCGCGGAGAGTGAGAGAGAGAGAGCTCAAAGCGAAAGTCCTCGGGACGTCCACCCTGGGCAAATGAAGGTACGCCAATGGGAACACCACCATTAGGTCTGCTAGCTGAACTGGTACTCCAGCAACTAGAGGAGGACGTTATGCCAGCCCTTAAGCCAAAAATGTGGCGCCGATACGTAGAGGATACGTTTGTTATCGCGACCACCTGCGAAATTGAGCAATTACATCTGAGTCTGAATATAGTCTTTCCCGTTATTCAGTTTAATCGCGAAGAGGCAACAGGAGGCATCCTTCTGTTTCTAGACGTTAGTATCCAAACGTTCATAGATGGCGGCCTTGCAACGAGCGTCTACCGAAAAGACTGCGATGATGACGTCATTCTTACTTATGAAAGCAACCATCCTGCGGCTCATAAAATGAACCGTGTCTGAACCCTTTTCCATCGGGCCTATCGTTACTGCTGCAGCGATGATCTACGTAGGAAAGAACTCGTTTTCTTGTATCGATTATTCCATCTCAACGGATGTCCGGTCAGCTTCGTGAAAAATTGTCTCAGACATCAGAGACAACCACAAGGCGTTTGTTGGGACCAGAACTACGGAAATTCTACTCTGTACCCTACATGCAGGGCATTTCCGAATCGATCGCCCGACAATTAAACCGGTTTGGCATCTTCATTGCCCACAAGTCAGCATTCTCCCTGCAAGCAACATTGTCCCGAGTGAAAGATCCCGTATCCAAAAAGCAGAAAATCAATGTTATTTACCGGATTCCGGGTGGAATTACCGGGGGTGGGGACAAGCAACACCCGACGCCCCCGTCTGGTTTTGCCTGCCGGTCGAGACAGCTATCAGTGTGTGGTCGCTAGGTA